GGACCATAAGCAGGAAACAGAGTGCATACTGGGGATGGTGGGAGCCTTTTACGCCCTCAGAGCCTGTCCCCAATGACACACCTCCTCCAACAAGGCCACACCTCCTAATCCCTCCCATTCAAACATAAGAACTAATGGGGGCCATTCTCATTCAAACTACCACATAGAGATTAAACCTCAGGCATTCTAAGTAAGTTGTCTGCCACTGAGCTATATAGCTCCAACCCCTAAGCCCTCCTTTTTTTGGAGGCAAAGCCTAAGTTGTCCAGTGTCTAGAGTTTCTATTGCTAATAAAACACCATGACCAAAAGCAACTTGGGGAGGAAAGGGTTTATTTCATCTTACAGTTCACGGGCCACACTCCATCACTAGGGGAAGTCCAGACAGGAACCTGGAAGCAGAAGCTGAAGCAGGGGCCATGGGGGAACACTGGCTTGTTCCTCGTGGTTCACTCAGCCTGATTTCCTATCCCATCTAGGACTACTGCTTAGAAGTAGCACCGCCCACAGTGAGCTGTAACCTCCACACCAATCATCAGCCAAGCACTTTCCTGATTAAGATTCTTTTCCCAGATGACCCTAGCTTATGTCAAGTTGACATAAAAACTAGCTAGCGCACGCGCGCGCGCACACACACACACACAAAACTAGCCAGCACAGCCATACTGGCTGTGAATTTGTGCACTTCCTGCCTCAGCCTCCTGAGTGCCAGGCAAGGAGAATGCAACTGTGCAGAAGGTGTCTGTCTGTCTGTCCAGTCACAGCACTTGATGGCCCATTGTATAGACATCTTCTAAACTGGGCATCTAAGCTACCTATGGTGACACATGCCTGTAACCCCAGCAGAGGAAGCAGGAGTTCAAGGTCATACTCAGCTACATAGCAAGTTTCAGGCCAGTCTGGGTTACATGGAGACACTCTCTAAACGTCAGGATGGGGCTCTTAAAAAAATTCCCATTACCCGGGAGACTGAGGCACATGGATCATGAGTTTGAGGCTAGCCTGGGCTACATAGTATCTCAGTAAGGAAACATAATAAAGTAAATTGAGCATCTATCTCCTCCACATCTCCAAGTACTGACCCCAAGGTACTGTTTTCAGAGACATAATGCAGATCATCACTGGCTAATAGAAACAGTGCACCTGAGTGGGAGAAAACTTGCCCCAGGGGCCTCCTCCAGCCTTCCTTGTAGAGTAGGATGCTGGAGCAGGCTCCCAGAGACGGAGTGCAATGATTCTAGCTGATTTCCTGGCCATGGTCCCCCACCTACGTGTCTGTCATTCGGACATGCTCCCTAGGGCTCTGCCTGTGGCCTCTTTTGGGGACAAGTCTCCATCAAGCCAGACTCCCCAGAATTGATGATGGACTAGCATTGACAGAACAAAGAACAGCCTTCTCCTAACGCAGGAAAATGTGGGACAGGGCTCAGAGAAGTGAGCAGGAGGCCCAACAACACAGATTCTGCGCTGGGCTTTGTTCCTTGGCAGGAAGCTCAGCCTGTACTGTGGTATGGAAGGGTTAACTCCACCCTTAGCTCCCCCCAGACCCCCCTGTCCTGCAGGCACTCAGCTGCTGCTTTCTGGGCAAAGCTTAGTCACCTGAGAGCCAGCTGTGGGGATTTCCCCAGCAGTGAGGCATGCATGCATGCTTCTATGTGCGCGCGCACACAACTCTGTTTATGTGACGTCTGTAAACTCAGGGGACCTGTCCAAACCCTTGCAGAGCAGGGGCTGGCCAAGTCAGGAGAGGCCCAGGGGCTTCTAGCAGACACTGTGGGGGAGGGGGCTGACTGATCCTGGATTTCACCAGTCATGGTAGATAAGCATGTTGCCCCTGCACAGACTCCCATTTCCTGTGACATCCATCTTGCCACACAACTGTATTGGTTGTGTTTTGGGTTTTTTTTTAAAGCCCTTGGAAGACTTTGTCAGTCTTTGGGCCTGAGGGCCTGTCTGTGTACCGTGGTGTCCAGGAAGGTCAAGGGCATTCCCCAGCCTCAGAAGGCCGGCATGTAGCTCAGGAGGGCAACTCTGGGCTAGATTAATATCAGGCCACAGGCATCCACTGAGGGTTAACTGGGCACTTAGAGTGTCTGAGGTATGGTGGAGTCAAAGAAATTTCAGGGCTAACTGGAGAGACAACACCTTTGGTGTGTGTGCTAGAAATGGAACCCAGGGCCTTGGCACATCCTAGGCAAGTGCTCTGACACTGGGATATGTGCCTAGCCTGGCTCAGTGTGTTTTTACTAAACACCTACTGTGTGCCAAACACCTGCCAAGACTACAGCCCTCGCAGGCCCTCTGGAGCTGGTTGAAACTGAGCAACACAGGGAAAAGATGAGTGAGATAGACTGACCATAAAAAATGGGTATCTCCAGCTTCAGTTCGGAAAAGAACCCCTACCTGGCTTCTGTGGCTTGTGAGCCTTGCTCAGAGTCAGGCCCTGTTACACCAGTAAGGGGGCTCGCCCTGATTCATCTCTCCCAAGCCACTCCGGTGAGCCTCAGAGCAGAAGGATGCTCTTTGGGGGTAGCGGGGGGGGGGGGGGGCAGGCTGCTTCAAGCCAGGGGCTTCTGGAGCAGACAAGATCATTCAGGGGGCGCTTGTACAGTCCCTCCTCCGGTGCTGAGGGCAGCCGACAGAGCTAGAACAGCAGGGCCCAGCAGTGCGTGTGGGCAGTGCTCACTGAACGGCTGGCAGTCGATTCTTTGATCTGATAGCTGGAGTCCAGAGTGAGAGACGGGATGTTCTACACCAGATTGTCCTGGACGAGAATGTCCATCCTGATGCGCTGCTGCCCTTGCCTCCCTCCCTCCAGTCCTTCCCTCCCATCTGGCTCCTGGAAGGGCTTGCCAGGGGATAGGTAGGTACAGGACTAAGTCTGTAGGCCTGAAGTGGCTGCCTGGCTGGCCTACTGAAGTCACTGGCCCACTTCTGTGCAGCCCTTGTGTGTCCGTATGAGCACACACAATGCCCTAAGTGGGGGCTTCTCAGAGGCTGGTGGGTGGAGGAACTTCAGGGAGACATCTCGGGGCGTAGGGAGGACCACCAGGGCAGACCACCCCGTGGAGGGCGTGGCTGGGGTATGGGATTTTCAGTTTTGTGTTTGTTTCTTCTCGGTTGCACACAAGCAGCAGGCCTCCTCGAGAGGTAAGGACCTGAGAACTGAGGGGGAGGACACACCCAGGCGGCTGTGTGTGGTCAAGCCCGGCTGCTGGGAGCAGATGCTCGGCCCTACCCACCCATTTCCCCACCCAGTGCCCCTTCGTCTGCCCACGCATCTCCCCACTAACGTGGCCACCTGTCTTTAAACAGAAGCTTCTGGTCTCTGCAGCTTGCAGGCCTGCCTGCTACTCTCTGCTGAAGCCCCTCCCCCCGACAGCTGAGTGTTCCCAAAGGTGGCTTTTCTCCCATCCACTTGGCTGGACCGACCCGGTCCCAGCCCTGGCTCGGGAAGGCATCCTCTTCTTGGTCCTTTAGAAGCTATGGACCACTCCCGTTTCCCCACCTGAGCAGACAGTCTGTCTGTTTTCTCTGAGCAGCTCATGCTTCAGGGTCCAGTACATTCCTACCCTAGGCTGGGCTGTCCCATGTGTACCCTGGATTCTGGGAAAGGCAAAACTCTGGGGGAAGGAGACCTTTGTAGCTGCATGCAAAATGTGGGAACATGGCTGCTTTTACATAGAGGAGCACAGCAGAAATAAATAAGGCCAGAGGGGAAGCCCAGAAAATGAGGTCTTCCATCAGGGCCCCTTGGTTCCCGATCCCTGGCCCACTTGCCTGGGCTCCACTCTTCCTTGCTGTGGGGCCCTGGGACATTAACTCCCCTGGGCCTCAGTTCCCTCCTCTTCCTAGAGGCGGATTATTGTACAGGTTAAGTACAGTGTATGTCAAATGTTCCTCACCATGCCCCACCCCCCTCAGGTTGTGTGAGAAGTGATGTTGTCTACCTGAATCGTAAGCAAGTGGTTTTCTCTCCATGTGTCCCTGAGTCCCCACATGGTCTTTCTGGTCTGTGTGATAGGCCCTGGAAGCCAAGATGTCACAGAGAGGGGAGACTGGAGACAAAAGCTTAGGATTTTCTTGTCTTTCGGATCCCCATCAGTAACCCAGCCTTACTAAATTCCTTAAGTACTTCTTCCTTAGGGCTTGGGCAAAACTAGCTGCCTACTTTAACAACTGAAAATATTGAACCTCTTTTTCATAAATGATGAATGATTTCAAGCCACTACAGCATTAAGCTAGTCCAAGGCCCTTGCCTCTATATACAGGATCCCTGAAGGCTGCACAGAGCACTCCTCTAGGAAACCAGCCCTGCCTGGGAGGCTGGGAGCAGGATACAGGGCATGTGGAGGAAGGCATTGCTATGGTGACATTAACCCATCACCCTCCAGTCCAAGATCACGGTCTTTCCTCTGCTCACACCAGTGTAAGCTTCCCAAGGCTCCAATCTGAGAAGCAGTTCATATACCATCTTAGTTCATCTTCTGTTGTAGGAACAGATGCCTGAGCCTGGGTTATTTATTTATTGAGACAAGGTCTCATGTAGCCCAGGATGGCCTCAGAATTGCTGTGTGGCTGAGGATGACCTTGAGTTTCTGACACTTCTGCCTCTGCCTCCCAAACGATGGGATTACAGGGAAGGTCTACAATACCTGACTTTATGTGGTGCTGGGATTTGAACCCAGGGCTTCACACATGATAGGCAAGTACTCTGCCAACTGGGCTACATCCTCAGCCTCAAGACTGGGTAATTTTTATAAAGAAAAGGGGGGAGGGGGACTGGAGAGATGGCTCAGAGGTTAAGAGCACTGCTTGTTCTTCCAAAGGTCCTGAGTTCAATTCCCAGCAACCACATGGTGGCTCACAACCATCTGTAATGAGATCTGGTGCCCTCTTCTGGCCTGCAGGGATATGTGCAGACAGAACACTATATACATAATAAATAAATAAATCTTAAAAAAAAAAAAAAAAAAAAAGAAAGAAAGAAAAGGGGTTTAGCCAGGTATGGTGGTGCACACCTTTAATCCCAGCACTCAGAGGCAGGTGGATCTCGGAGTCTGAGACCAGCCTGGTCTACAGAGTAAGTTCCAGGACAGCCAGGTCTACACAGAGAAACCCTGTCTTGAAAAACAAAACAGAAAGGGGTTTATATTTTGGTTCAAGGCTCAAGAGGCCGAGAAGTCCATGGTCACAGAGTTGCCCCTGCTCAGCAGCAGACAGCAGAAGGGCAAGTGGGCATGTGCAGAAGGGACAAAGGAGGCCCAAGACCCACATCAGAAGCTAAGCCATTCCTGGGAGAAAGGCATTAACCCCTTCCCGATGGTTGTGCTGCATGACCCAGTGAGGCCTTGCCTCCCAGCACTGCCCATTGGAAACCACGTGATCTTCAAGCAGGATGAACCAAGTTCTGACAGAAGCATAGTAGAGAGTTGGGGGAACTGGCCTTTGGCCTTTTCGTCCTGTCTTCATCTTATTTTGTGGCGTGCTCTCCCAGGGGCAGTGGTCTCTTTCATGGCTGTGTCTGCTCCGGCTCCCTAGAGTAGCCATCAGTGTAGACAATTACTCTATAAAACACGGATGAACCAGGTGGGGCTGGTGGAACAAGTGGAGCCCTTGTGTGTCCATGTCAGACAGTGGGAGAGATAGGGGCATGCTCCACACATGGAAACACCCCTCAGCTGCTGCTGCTGCCATTAAATACGGGGCTGGCAGCTACAGGCTGACGCAGTGGCCAGGTTTCCCGGTGGCGTAGTCAAAAAGGGAAAGAAGCACATGGAGTCTAGGAAACTTAAGAAGTTGTCTCTGTGCAGAGCTGAGTTGTAGCAAAGGAAGTGGGGAGAGCCTAGGATGCAGCTGGTAGCTTAGAAGCTGCTCAGAGGTATGAACAATAGAATTCCCAAAGAGGGAGAGGCCTCCCCTGAGATCCTGAAGGAGGGCAGGGCTGGGAAGGCCAGGGATTTGCATTCCATGGGGCCTGGCAGAATCCCTGAGCTGTGAAAACTGGTCCCCCAAGCCTTTGGCTCACTGTCATTCTCCATGGAGTTTGGGAGTTGGCAGCCCCCGCCCCTCTCCCTCCCCCCAGGCCTGCAGCCCACCATAGGTTTATTAGTTTGGAATGTGGAACGTGTTCTCCTCCGGGGAAGTGTCCAGCACACACGGTTTAAGACAGGATTGGGTGTGTGGCGCTTCATTCCCACAGCTCTGCAGTTGCTCGAGGTTAGGGGCTTCAGGGTGGCGGGGCGGGGTAATACCCCGCATTTAGAGTAGTCAGGACAGCCAGACCTTGGGGAAGCTTCTGGAAATTCGGGAGTACCTGCCTGTCATTCGTGGCTTCTTCCTCATCACCCAGACCCGACAGGGGCCAGGGTCAGCCTCCTACGTGTGCACCAGGCCCGGTGTTTGGCCATACCTGCAGACACTGGGTTTTTCTCTGGGCCTAGATTCTTAGTGGTATGGCTGGCCGGCAGGAACAGTTGTGACAAGAACGTGGATGTCACAGATAACTGAAAGACCCTGTCTCTACACCATCGTATCACCCTGGAACCCACAGCTTCGCCTGTTGTCTGCTTCCCATCGTATCCCAGAGGCTGGTTCTCACCTGTCCTGCCAGTGTGAAAATGCTCTGAAGAAGACGGGGTGCCAGGCCTTTTTGCTGCTGCACTATGGGAGGAAAAGAGGATCAGATGGCTGGATGTCCCACTTCAGACACCGTAAATGGCAAAGCGAGCACAAGGCCCAAGCCTGTTACTCTTGCTCCGGATCTCTGCTCCCGATGCTTTGCTCAATCTTTTCATGGCTGCAGCAAATACCTGAGGGAACAATTTAAAGGGAGGACGGGTTTATTTTGGCTCATGGTATCTCAGAGGTCATGGTCAGAGTCACGGATCAAATCTGCAGCTGTGGTCTGGATGCTTCTCCAACTCACAGCACTGTTTCAGGAGTCTGTGGAGCCCTTAGGAGGCGAGGCCTACCTGCTGGGAGTAGCTCACCAGGAACCAGCCTTTGAAGGTTATACCTGCCCTGGGTTCTAGCCGCGCCCCCTGTTTCTTGGCCCACCATGCTGTGAACAGCTGTTCACACTGCTACTGCCATGAAGTGAGCTCCCCCACCACGCTGGACTGAAACCACGGGCCCGGATTGCTTCTTCAGCTGTCTCTGCCAGGTCACAGTAATGCAAACGTAACTAACAAATTCAGCCACATTGCTGTGTCCTGTGGTGTGCTGGAACATTCCTGGTGGCAAGAGTCTGTGGCCAAGCAAAGTTGTTCACCTCACTGCAGCCGGGAAGCAGAGAGAGAAGGAAGGGGAGGGGCCAAGATGCATCTTTTGGGCCATGCATCTCGTGACCTGCTTCCTTCCAGGTGGGTTGCATTCCCTACTTCTTTCCCACTCCGTTGCTTAGGTCCAAGGCCTCAGGATCCAATCACTTCCCTGAACAGCTAGAGACAAGACCTCTAATCCAGAGGCTTGTGGGAGATGTTTCATGTTCAAACATAACTCTGCCTTCAAAACTATCTCCTTTTTTGGGGGCGGTTGGTTTTTCAGAAACTGAACCTGTGTGCAAGTTTCTCTGGAAAGATGGTCTTTTTCCAGGACTCGTTTGATCACATGTGTTATGGCAAGTACCAGGCTTCTGCCAGGAAAGTCGAGAACGTCAGACGACCACCTGAGAGATCAGTAGGCCTGAATGCTGTAGTTGGCAGGTGTTGAATATTGAAGCCCAGAGAAATTAAGCCCTTTGTCCAAGGCCACAGAGCTAGCTCCCAGCAAGACCAGGCAAGCAGATTGTAGTCCCATGCCCCTCATATTGTGGCAGACTGTGTCCCTGTTCTGCGGGACCCTGGCTTCTTGGTCAGCAGAGGACAGGGAAATAAAGCAGCAGTTGGTCTGTGTTGGCCACAGCTGTTACTTGGCTGTGCCTGCCTCTTGCCCCAGAGCCAGCAGCCCTGTCTGCCTGCTGGCCGGAGGGCCTGGTTGTGTGAGCCAGAGGCTCTCTTCTGTTCATTAGAATGAGGTGGAAGGGGTCCTTCCCACCCCAGGAGAGAGCTTGCCAGGGAGGCCTGGGAGCAGCAGGATTGGATTTGCTCTGCACATCCAGGGATTGGGAAATGAATCGCTTTTAAAAAGACAGGCTTGCTTCTAGTCTATTCCATTTTCCTCTGAGGACAAGGAAGAAAATGCCTGCTTCTGGAGCTTGAAGCAGGATGGGCATGTGCTCAGGTGTCCAGCCTCTGGCCACTTCCAGCCTACCTCGTGCTTCTGTGAATAAGGTGGATGGCCCACTTACTGTTTTTAGTATAATCACTAGATGATTTAGAGAGAGACAGAGACAGGCAGGCAGACAGACTAGAGATTGACCCTAGGTCCTCAGATATGCTAGCCAGGCACTTTACCATTGAGCTACACTCCCAGCTCTCTTTAGCTTTTGAGACAAAATCTAAGTGGCCCAGGCAGGCTTTGAACTCCTGGTCATCCTGCCCCACCTCCCAAGTGCTGGGATTAACAAGTTTTCCCATACCCAGCCCACTTGTACACTATCATGGTAGAGCTGAGTGGTCTTCCCAGAGACTATCTGGCCCCTGGCACCTAAGGTAAGTTTTCCCTGGCCTAGCAGAATAATCCTTCCTGGGTTGTCTTTCTGTGGCTCACTAGAGGAGATTTGCCTTTTCTCAAAACATTTCCTCCTGAGGAACCCAAAGGGAACCACAAAGGAAGAGGGGGTTCAAGATGTGGGCACAGGTAGGTAAGGCCCCCATCCCCACCCCACTCTGCACAGGGCCCTCCTTGTCTGTAGCTACTTAGAACCTTGGTGGTCCTCAGCATGTCTGCCCTTTTTCAACTATGAGGGCAGTCCTGCCAGCTGCCAGGCTTGGGAGAGGTACTGGCCTGAGACCCAGCCCCGTTTGTTCCTTATTCTGGCTGGCCCAGTCTGAGGTTGATGGTGGAAAGCATCTCAGACTAGATGCAGGAGTTTTCTTGGTGTGTCTAACGTAGTGTATCATTCAGTTACCGTCCTTGCATCCGGGGCCTTGACTTTCCTGGTGCCTCCAGAGCTGAATGAAACTGAGAGCCAGGCTCATGCTACCTACATCATGGAAAGTGTTAGTTACCAGCCATGGTGGCTAACCTTTAGTAAGCACTGGTAATTACTAGGCATCGTGTTGGCTACTGGTATTACCTCATTTAGTCACCACAGCAGCCAAGAAGGTGAGCATATCACTTTACCCTGAATTTTACAAGCTCAAGAATAGGCTTTGAGGGGCTGGAGAGATGGCTGAGTGGTAAAGAGCACTGGCTACTCTTCCAGAGGACCCGTGTTTGACTCTCAGCACCCACATGGTAGCTCCAACCATCTGTAACTCCAGTTTCAGGAGATCCAACAGCTCTTCTAACCTCCTCGGGCACCAGGGATTCAAGTGATGCATAGACATCCATGCAAGCAAACCACTCATATATAGAGAATAAAATAATTTATTTTTAAAAAGAAAGGCTAGACTCCAAATGATTAAGTAACTTCTCTAGAGGGGCAGGGCCTGGGTTCGTACCCAGGCCTGAGACCCCAGAGACCTCTCTAAAACTCTCCACAAGCACCGGGCGGTGGTGGTGCACGCCTTTAATCCCAGCACTCGGGAGGCAGAGGCAGGCGGATCTCTGTGAGTTCAAGGCCAGCCTGGACTATAGAGTGAGTTCCAGGAAAGGCACAAAGCTGCACAGAGAAACCCTGTCTCAAAACAAAACAAAAAAAACTCTCCACAAGCAACTCACTCTTGAGTTACAGTAAAATTTGAAACAGCAGCTTCCCAGTGCTCGGGGCCGGGGTGGGCGTGGGGGGTGTTGTTTACTGAGCAAGTGTGTAGTGTGCTTGAAATGGTAGAATCAAGCTCTGGTTGTCTGATCGGTGTCCCTGCAAGAGATGGGCATTATACTAGCTGTGTAGCCTTGAGTGAGTGACTTCATCTCACTGGTTCAGTTTGTCTGCAAAATGGAGGGGTAGCAGTACCTGCTGTCGTGGTTTGTCCCGGAGAGTAACTGAGTAGCCCGTATGTGAAGAATATCGCACAAAGACCACCAATGTTGGATCAGTGTTGACTACTCTTATCTGCTGTGAAGAGGTCTGCAGCTCCCCCCGGCCAGTGCTAGAGCCCTGCAAGGGTTTGCCTCTCCTGTATGCAGCCCGACACCAGCCTTCTGACTGTCTCCCGCAGCCAGGGCCCTGCACTTGGGGTTATCTCCAGGCATGGTTCCGTTCTATCTCATGGAAGCTTGGGCCAGTTACTTTCCATATGAGAAATGTCTCCTTAACATTTGAGGCCGGAGGTGTGTGCCCGCCTCCCGAGTCCATCAGGAGAGCCAATGGTCCGAGAGCACCTGTGCTGACCTCTGGTGATCGTGGGGACTTTTGATATTCCAGAAATGTTTGAACCAGGACTAGCTGGGTGGCTCAGCCAGTCAAGGTGTTTGCTGCCTGAGCCTGGTAACCCGAGCTCAAACCCTGGAACACATGTAAAAATGGAAAGAGAGTTGATTCCCTAAAGGTGTCCCCCTGTGGCATGTCACCCAACACACCACACACACACACACACACACACACACACTTAGAAATGTTCACATCAGTGAACAGGTGAAGGGTTTCTCCCCATCATAGTGCTGATGATGCCTTAGCCCGTAATGACCTGTCCCCCATCACACTTTGGCAGGAGACAACATAACCCTGTTTCACAGGTGAGAAAACTGAGGCCCAGATAGGACACCACTGTCTGAGTCTGGAATGTAGCCCTCGTGTTTCCCTACCACTAAAGGTCCCTCTTCTGGGGCCAGTGTGAGATAAAGGTCTTTGTAGGACAGTGGTTCTCAACCTGTGGGTCACAACCCCTTTGACAGTTGAACAACCCTGTCACAGGGGTCACCAAGACCATCGGAAGACACAGCTATTTGCATTATGATTCATAACAGTAGCAAAATTACAGTTATGAAGTAGCAACAAAATAGTTTTATGGTGGGGGTCCCCACAACACGAGGAGCTGTATTCAAGGGTCGCGGCGGTAGGAGGGCTGAGAAGCGCTGCCGTAGGAATCTTCTGCTCCCTACATCACCATCCGCTGGAGGGTGCAGCTGTGGCAAGGGCTGAACAAGACTTCAAGGCAGAGTGTATTATAAAACTTGAAAACTACCCTGACATTTGAGGTCCTGGGTCTGGTCTGCTGAGCCCGCTGGCCTTTGACAATCCTTGGAGCCACCAGGCCCCATGGGACCAGCCTCCCACATGGCTACAGAGGCAGAGCCGGGATGCCTTCTCCAGCCCACACTAAAGCCGAATCCCATTGCAGGGAGGGCCTGGGTCAGAAGTCTACTTCAGAGATGCCTGTGTTTCAACAGACACCTCATTATCCCAGCCAGCCTCTGTAATCATACAGGCCCACGCCCAGCAGTCATCCCAGGCCAGGAAATCACTCCCTCCCCTCCCCCGCCTTCCGCCCAGGGCGCCCTGAACCTCTGTGTCTGCAGCCACTCTTCAGTGGCCCTCTTGCCTGCCTAACGGTTTTCTCTCCTGCTTCTCCTTGCTCTCTCGGGGACTCGGCAGTGTGGCTAACCAGCTGGACTGAGTCTCCCAAGAAGGACGTGACAGGTACCGCCTTGCATGCATGCGTGTGAACATGTGTGTCCCAGCATGTGTGCCGAGGAGCCGGTGCCCGCAGGCTTCCTTGCGCATGCTTCCCTTTATCGGCATGCGGGGCTTTTCCACTCCCTGGGCTTTCTGCTTGCTGGGAGAACCCTTTCTGGTCCTCAGATGAGCCATGGAGCCTTATAG